CCATTTTGGATATATCAAATTGATGGTGTCTACTGTAGATCTAGATCAAGATGTCTGAAAGGGAGTTGGATATGCAAGGTTGGAGGTCAGCAGAGAGATAGAGCAATATAAGTAGCTTTAGGAATCATCAGCATATAGATGGCAATTAAATTCATAGGAGCTAATGAGATCACCAAGTGAAGTTGTATAGAGGGAGGAGAGAATAGTACCCAGGATGGAATCCTGAGGGTCACTTTATGGCAAAAGAGTGTGAACTGGATGAGGATCCAGCAAAAGAGACTGAAAAGCAGCAATCTGAGAAGCAGCAGGAGAACTAGGAGAGACTGGTATTCCAATAACCCAGAGAGAAGAGAGCATAAAGGAGAAGAGGATGATCAACAGTATCAAAGGCTGTGGAGAGTTTGGGGAGAATGAAGTGTGAAAAAAGGCCATCTGACTTGGCAACTGAGATGTCATTGGTAACTTTGGAGAGATCAGTTTCAGTGGAATGGTGAGACCAGAAACTAGACTGTAAGGGGTTTAAAAAGAGAGTAGAAGGAAGGAAAGTGGAGGCATCTATTACAGACAGCCCTTTCAAGGAATTTAACCAAAAAGAGTACAAGACCTACAGGACAAGAACAGGAAAGGAAAGATCAAAAGAGGGGTTTTTTGTTTGTTTATTTGTTTGTTTTTCAGAATAAGGAAGACATAGGCATGTTTGTAGGCTGGAGGGAGTGAGCTGAATCATGAGGATTTATTTTGAGATATGAAAGATTTTATGCAGGCAAGTCAGGACCATGTCATTACCCTCAGAAATTACAGAAGCTTTATCCTTATGAAGCCTGGACCTATTGATCAATATATGCAAGCAATTGTAAAAAGTGTGAATTAACTTCACTGTTAGTTGCACAAAAAAATACAGCACTTAACAATACCTAGCAAGATACAAGTTGGTGGCTGGAAATATATGTCAGAATCTTTCTGCTTTCCTGAACAAAAAGATTGTATTGCTTATACTAAAAAGACTGATTTAAAGATATTCTAGAGCGCAGATGTCAAATGCACCAGTCATGGGCCACACGTAACCTATAGAACTCCTGAGTGCTGCCTGGTCAAATTGTAATGTAAATGACAAATATATGACAAAAAAAATTTTTTTAAATCACCGTAAATAACTATATTTTCAAACAAGTTGATATGTGCCCGGCAGGCATCCTTATGGGTGCATTGGTGGCTCAGTTCTCTCTGAGTTTGACACCACTGTTGTATACGACTTAGTGAACAAACAACATGAGATCTGGAACATTATCACAGACAGAATTTCTGCCCAGTATGTTTAAGTCCAGTATGTTAAAAAGATGTCACAGTACAAATCATTCATAATCTCTAGTCTATGTGGAACAAAAAAGCTTCAAAATATAGAGACCAAGAATAAGAAATCAAAATCATGTAGAAAGGGAAAGTTGTTTCATGCTCTTTGTCTTGTAAACCACTACAGTTGTCCTGAATGTACCTTCAGTGAATGTACAGAAGATGAATTTCCATCCCAATATTTTTAATACTTTTACTTAGTTACAAAAAGAAACCAGTTATTTTTTCAACCAGTATAATAGACTATAGAACATCAACTACAAAGAAATAGTAGCAAAACAGAGAGTCTTCCTAGGACCATTTGAATGATACCCTCCCAAATATGATGAGAATAAGACTAAATGATTAACAGGCACTTATTAACATCTACTGTGTGGCAAGCATTATGTGCAGTACTATGGAAATGAAGACAGAAATGAAACAGTCTCTGTCTACAAAGAGCTTATAGTATTTCAGGGAAAACAACATATACATGTATAAGTAGACAGAAAATATATACAAAATACAAGATAATTCTTTTGAGGGTGGAGAATTGCCAGCAGCTGGAAAAGGGGTTTAGGAAAAGTTTCTTGAGGAAGACGGTGCATTGATTTAGCTTTTGAAGACAAGTAGGATTCAAAGAGGAGGAGGTGAGGAGGCAATGTCTTCCAGACATGGAGAACCTGTGCAAAGCCCAGAGTTGGGAGATTGAGTATTGTGGGTATAGAATATCAAGAATGCCATGTTGCCTGAATTATGTAGTGTGTGAAGTGGACTAATGGAAAATAAAACTAAGAAAGTAACTTGGGGTCACATAGAGAAGGATTTTAAATTCCAGAATGGTTTGCATTTAATCCCAGAGAAAAAAGGGAGCCATTGGAGGCTATTGAGCAAGGAAGTGACATAGTCAGTTTTATATTTTAGAAAAGTGTTTTGTAGCTTTGTGGAAAATAAATTAGAGAGGAGAGTCCTGAAGAAAAGAGCCCAGAAAAGAGGCTATATCAGTAGTCCAATAGGCCAGAGAAGCGATGAGGACCTGAAACAGGTGGTGGCTGCATGTAATGATGATGGTAATTACTCTTATTTCTTTTATACTTTAAGTTTGATAAAGCTTTTTCCTCATCATAATCTGGGGAGTTAAGTAATGTGAACTTTAGCTTAACTGACATTAATAATGCCAAAATAATAATGATAATAACTTTACAGGTTATAACATTTTTCCAATTCAACTATAATTTTTAATGCTGCTACATTCAAGGTAATATGTTATATGTTGGGTGTTGTCCTCACAATCACCCTGAGACAGTTATCTCCATTTTACACATAAGGAAATGAAGACTCTTAAAGTTTAACCAATTTGTCTAGGTTGATGTAGTAAATAAGTAGGAAAACTGGAACTCTTCCCACTCTTCTCATTCCTAGCCTATACCTAGTGCTTTCCATTCCAGAGAGTGACTCTTTTTGGTTTTTAATTTTGCTAGTTTGCTTTTTGTTTGTTTGTTTTTTGAAACTCAAAGTTTAAGGCTGCCTGGGATTCTAAAAATCTCTGAGTAAAATTACTGATTAAAAATTGCTTGCTCATAACTGCAGTGTGATTTCTCAGATCTAGATCTATGCTTTTATGTAGATAGTCTACTGCAAGCTCATGAATAATGGTGCAGGGGTTTTTTTGCCTTATTGCAAAAAGAAAATGGAAAGAAATTTTAGGAGGTCCTAGAATGTAACAATTATATGACAAGCCTATCTACTATCTACTTGTAGATATCATCATCTTTTATCTGAGAAAAAAGAATAATGCCAGTAAAAATGAAAGATTTGAAATATTCATTTTGGTGATACCTTGACCTTGAATTAAAAAGTTGCAAACTTGTCAAAATTTCCTGTGTTCAGTGATGGTCATTTTGCTTTGGTTTTAAATCATAAAGACTTTTAGGAATTGCCTTTTTTGGGTGTTTTATAAATATGTGCTAGTTAAGAATTTAACACAATATTCTGAAATTATTATTTGTCACTGGTTTATATCAAATTAACCTTGGATTACCAATTAGCATGATCTTCATATTCTGTTTTTAAAAGGAAATACTCCAATGCAATTGTGGTATTACTAAAGGAACTTCATTCAAGGATATGTATCTCAAACAAGCCATACTTGCACATTTCGTATGACTCTTGCCCATATCCTTATATAAGTTCCTGCACAGGATTCAGTCAATACACTAAGGCCTCTCCACATGTTTTCCTGACATCAGAAGGATGCCAGTAGACTGTCATTCACTTTTCCATTCATTTTAAATAGTTATTAACTACACACTGTTTGCAAGGCAACATTCTAGTTGGTGGGTATACAAAAAAACAAAGATGAAAGAGTGCCCACCCTTAAGGAACTTATATTATATTGGGGGGGGGACACAACATGAATGCAGATAACTAAATATCAAGAATTGGGGGGGTACCAGAAATTAGGATGGTCAGTCATTGCTGAATTATGTCACCTACATTCTGGACATTCTCCTCTTTCCACTGATAATCAGATTCCTGCCTCTTGATCATGGGCTCTAATATATGAGCTTTGACTTTTTTCTTGATGTGAATCAAGCTATCACATCACTTTTTAGGTATTTCTCAAGCATTCCCCCTGTATACTGGACATTCTTCCCCTCCTTCCCAGTGGAACTTGGGCTTCTGCCTCGGGACTTTAAACTATAAATAGTGAGCTTTTACTTTATTTTACCTGGAATCAGGATGCCATTGTAATTCCTGGCCATTTCCAAACATGTGGACATTTTCACACCCTCCTTGTCTCTCTCCAATTCTAGCTCCTGTTTATATGTTGTTTTTCTCTGTAGAGTAAAAGCTCCTTGAGGTCAGGGACTGTCTTGTTTGCTTATATTATATCCCCAGCACTTAGCATAGTTCATGAAACATAGTAAGTGAATAATAAATCATTTCTCATTAATTTATTCAGTATAGGCCTCCTGCAGGAGGTGGTACTGACCTAACCCTTGAGGAAGCTAGAGACCACACGAAGTGGAGGTAAAGACAGACTATATTCCTTCTATGGAGGAAAGCCTGTAAGAAGGCATAGTAATGTGAGGAGAGTCCTCTACAGGTAACAAAAAGATCTATTGGCTGGAATATAGAATACATATAGGGAAGAAATATGCAGTAACCCTGGAAAATACTTTAAATATTTTTCTACTGTTTAACCTTTATTCTCACTATGAGAAATACCTGTCTTTTTTTCTGAAAGTAAATCCACTTAAAAATCTAAATAAACACAAATGATTTAAATTTTTGGACTGCTACCATTTTTCTTCCAGTAATGAAGCTGACCAGGTATTTTAGGATTTTTAGACTCTCTCTCTCTCTCTCTCTCTCCCTCTCTCTCTCCTTGTGGTCTTAGAAAGGAGAAAAATGAAAGATCTCACTTTTTCTTCAAACTATTAAAGTAAATCCTATAAAAAGATCTGTTCCCATTGTGGTTAATTGGTACTGCTTCACACATTAAGAGACAATGATAGAGGTTCAAGCCATGTGCCTTATTTATTTCCTTTTTCATTTTCTATACTTAACCTAGTTAGAAAGAGCAAGAAATGGTTTCTAAAAGCCGTTATTGTTCATAAAGATTCATTAATATGAAGCAATAACAAAGCATTATTTTATTCTACTAGGTCTCTGTCCTGAGACGACAACAGGATGTGCCTTGGAGAGAGGTATGTTAACTAATAAAACATTTTGAAATACACCTTTAATTACCTTGTGAAGATTGAAATGGAAAGTCTTTGGGGGTAATAATCATGCAATACTGATTATATGCCAATATGAGCCAAGGAAATTAAATTAGCCAGAGAAATTTATTTGATCCAGAGTATCTTTGATATCAAGATCTGACATTGATATTGACAAGCATTTGTTAGTCATTCTGAATATCAGATATTTACTAACACACCCAGAAAAATATACTCTCACATTGAAAATTCTTTGGTTAATATACAATGTACTCAAGGGTTATATTCCCAGTTACCATTGGTACTTTTGAAAGTGAACCATAACACTATCCATTCATTCATCAATACTGTGTGTTTACATGTGTGTGTGTGAGAGAGAGAGAGACAGACAGAGAGAGAGAAAGAGAGAGAGAGAGAGAGAGAGAGAGGAGAGAGAGAGAGAGAGAGAGAGAGAGAGAGAGAGAGAAATCAGTGTTCCTAATAATTGAAAAGTATAAAAAGAAAATATTTTGGGGAAATATATCTTTGTTATATTTGCACAGAATATCACACTAAAATTCAATTGGGGAAGGGAGAAAAATGAAGCATCTGTTTAGAATTCAGAATGGATTTAACGAGTTGTTGTCAAGGACAATAGGTTTCAATAGGAAAAGTGCAGATAGTACAAGGAAAGAATGACTGGGTGGGAAATTAGTGGGAAATGATGTAGACTGCAAGCTATACATCTTCCCTAAATATAGTGTGATTTCTAAAGAAACAAGTGTGAGCTAAGATGCATAGTTTTAACATGTAGGAACTTTAAAAGCTAGAGGAAAATTCAAAAGAAAGCTATGAAGATGATTAAAGGATTGGAAAATAGGGCCTGTGAGGAAAAGGTGAAGGAACTGGGATTATTTATAGCCTGTAGATGAGAAAGTTGAAGGGTAACTTAATAATGATCTTTGGTTGGATGAAGGATGATTAGACATCTGTTCTCTTCCTCCATTGAGGAAATAACAGGGAAATGGATTACATGAGTATGTGAGTGATTTCAGTTAGATATAGAAAAGATTTTAAACCTGCAATGGGTTATTGAGGAGGGTTTTTGGCTTTCCTTTCCTAGAGGCTTTTAAAATGGGATATATTCCTGAATGGCTTGGTATAACACACTCTGAAGGTAGACCAGACTAGCTAGTCTTGTGCATTCCCACAAACTGCAGAAGTCTTATTTTTATCAAAAGACAAATGAATTCCTTGATTTTAAGTAATTTTACATTAAATATCATATATGAGAAAATTACAGAGATTATAAGAGGGATGTGGGCAAAATGTTTTCATTAATTGATGCCTTTGTTATTGTATACAAATCTGTTATTTTAATTAAATATAACTTACATATGTTTTGGCATATTAAATTCAGCCACCAATTTCAATAATATTATATATACTGTGCTTTCTGTAGCATAGTAAACCAACATGGAAAGCAAAAATTCTGACAAGTGTGTGAATGTGTGTGAATATGTGTGAATATATATAGTCATCTATATCTATATGAGAGAAAGTATGGTGTGGTGGTTAGAATGTGGGCCTTGGAGTCAGAAAGTTATGTGCTTGAGTCCTGACCATGGCACTTATGACCAAGGATAATTTGGACTTTTAAGACATCTTGTAACTTTCCAGTTTACCCTTATTAATTAGTTTTATACTCTTTCTTCCTGTGATTATTGGTAGTAAACATTTCACATGGATTGACTGTTTAAACACAATCATGTTTTCAAGGAACAGTAGGGTAGGAGGTAAGCTTTATAACTGTGGTTACTGGTGAAGACTATACTAGTATAAATCCCCAAGTGATCCTCTACAGATAATAATAATAATAATAATAATAATAATAATAATAATAATAATAATAATAATAATAATAATAAATAGTAACAATAACAAACATTTATATAGTGTTTACTATATACCAGGTCTTATGCTAACTTCTAACAAATATTATATCATTCGATCTTCACAACAACCCTGAGAGGTGGGTGCTATTTTTATCCCCTTTTTACAGATGAAGAAACTAAGGCAAATAGAGGTTAGGTGACCTGGCCAGGGTTACACTAGTCTTTCTGACTGTGGGCATGACACTCTATTCATTGAGCTACTTAGTTGCCCCAGTAAGTTTCTTTTTTTTAATTTTTTTTAATATAAATTTATTTATTTTTAGCTTTCAACATTCACCCACAAGTTTTTGAATTTCAAATTTATACCCCATCTCCCCCCTCCTCCCACCCCAAGATGGCATGCATTCTGAATATCTCTTCCCCTAGTCTGTCCTCTCTTCTATCTCTCTCCCCTTCTCCTATTCCCTTTCCCTATCCCCTTCCCCTTCTATTTTCCTGTAGGGCAGGATAGACTTCTGTACCCCATTTCCTGTATTTTTTATTTCCCAGTAGCATGTGGAAACATTTTTTTTAAACATACGTTTTTAAAACTTTAGGTTTCAAATTTTCTCTCTTCCTCCCTCCCCACCCACCCTCATTGAAAAGGCAAGCAACTCAATATAGGTTGTACATATGCAGTTATGCAAAACATCCATAGTAGACATGTTGTGAAAAACTAACTCTATTTCCCTTAATCCTATCCAGCTCTCCCATTCATTCTATTCTTTCTTTTGACCCTGTCCCTCCTCAGAAGTATTTACTTCTGATTACCCCCTTTCCCAATCTGCCCTCCTCTCTATCATCCCCCTGCTCTCTTGTCCCCTTCTCTCCCTATTTTCCTGTAGGGTAAGACAGATTTCCATACCCAATTGAATGTGTTGTTATTCCCTCCTTAAGCCAAATCCTATGAGAATAAGATTCACTCATTCTCTCTCACCTTCCCCGTTTCCCCTCCACTGTAAGAGACTTTTCTTTTCTGTTTTTTTTGTGAGATAATTTACCCCATTCTACCTCTCCCTTTCTTCTTCTCTGAGTATAATCCTCTCTCATCCCTTAATTTTATTCTCCAGATATGACCCCTTAATCTTCAACTCACCCTGTGCCCTCTATCTATCTATCTACATATACATACATATAATTTTTTTCCTCCAACTACCCTAATACTGACAAAGGTCTCATGAGTTATAAATATCATCTTTCCATGCAGGAATGTAAACAGTTCAATCTTAATAAGTCTCTTATGATTTCTCTTTCCTGTTTACCTCTTCATGTTCCACTTGAGTCCTGTATTTGAAAGTCAAATTTTCTATTCAGCTCTGGTCTTTTCATCAAGAATGCTTGAAAGTCCTCTATTTCACTGAATGACCATTTTTTCCCCTGAAGGATTATACTCAGTTTTGCTGGGTAGGTGATTCTTGGTTGTAATCCTATCTCCTTTGCCCTCTGGAATATTATATTCCATGCCCTGTGGTCCTTTAATGTAGAAGCTGCTAAATCTTGTGTTATCCTGATTGTGTTTCCACAGTACTTGAACTGTTTCCTTCTGGCAGCTTGTAATATTTTCTCCTTGACCTGGGAACTCTGGAATTTGGCTACAATATTCCTAGGAGTTTTCCTTTGGGGATCTCTTTCAGGAGGAGATCTGTGGATTCTTTCAATTTCTATTTTGCCCTCTGGTTCTACTATATCAGGGCAGTTTTCCTTGATAATTTCTTGAAAGATGATGTCTAGGCTCTTTTTTTGATCATGGCTTTCAGATAGTCCAATAATTTTTAAATTCTCTCTCCTGGATCTATTTTCCAGGTCAGTTGTTTTTCCAATGAGATATTTCACATTGTTTTCTAATTTTTCATTCTTTTGGATTTGTTCTACTGTGTCGTGATTTCTCATAAAGTCACTATCTTCCAATTGCTCTATTCTAATTTTTAAGGAAGTATTTTCTTCAGTAAGCTTTTGGACTTCCTTTTCCATTTGGCCAATTTTCTTTTTAGGGCATTCTTCTCCTCATTGGCTTTTTGGACCTCTTTTGCCATTTGGGTTAGGCTATTTTTTAAGGTGTTATTTTCTTCAGTATTTTTTTGGGTCTCCTTTATCAGGCTGTTGACTTGTTTTTCGTGATTTTCTTGCATCACTCTCAGTTTTTTCTCTACTTCCCTTACTTGCTTCTCAAAATCCCTTTTGAGCTCTTCCAAGGCTTTGGATGTAGGAGCTTTGACTTTGTTGTCTTCTTCTGGTTGTATATTTTGATCTTCTTTTTCACCAAAGTAAGATTCTATGGTCTGAGTCTTTTTGAGCTGCTTGCTCATAATCCCAGACAATTACTTGAGTTTTACACTCTTTTTTAAAGTAAGAGTCTGCTTCCAATGTGGAGAATGTATTGTCCCAAGCTTCAGGGGTTTGTATAGCTCTTTTCAGAGATACTTGTAGGTACCTGTAAATTTTCAGTTCTTCCAAGGTGGTATGATAAGGGGTGAGGTGTTTACTCCTTTCCTGGCCTGTGATCACAAGTATTCCTTTCTGTCCTGTAATTGTGAGGAAGGGTTCCTCTCCACAGCCACTACAAGCTGTACCATGCCAGCGTTCCTCCTCACTCCAGCACCGCTGCCCAGAACTGTAACCCAGATCCGAACGGGGCAAAGCAAGAGTTTCCTGCCTCAGCACTGGGAAAGAGATCCCTGCAGTCCCTCTCTGATCAGCCACTGGATTCCCCCTCAGTCTGTGGGCCAGAAGCTCGGGAAGCAGCTGCCCCCCACCAGGGCCACACTTTTGGGGAATGGAGCTGAAACCCCACCTTCCTGTCTCAGCACCGACAGAAACAGACTTTTCCCACTGACCTTCTAAGTTGTCTTTGGCATTAGTGGATTGAGGAGTCTGGAAACCTCCACAGCTGCCCGAGATTCAGTCCTCTGAGGCCTGCTCCAGGTTCACTGTGGCCTGTGTGCCTACACCGCACTGTGCTGCGCTCCCAGACTGGCACGATACACCTTTCTGATCAATCATCCAGGTTGTCTTGGGCTGGAAATTTGTTTCACTCTGTCTTTTTGTGGGTTCTGCTGCTTCAGAATTTGTTTA